CAGTCTCATGTTCTAGGTCTCACTACCTTTTTGGGAAAACAACATTAAGCTACATACAAACACAACTTGGTATAGCTGGCACTAAGTGAAGCAGAGGAAAAACAATCATAAAGCGTTAGCCTCAGTACTAGTCCCAATGTCCTCCACCAGTAGTGCTGGAGGGAGGCAGCATGGTCTAGCAGAAAGAACATAGCATGAGAAGCCTTTGTTTTTGCTTAGGTCCTTGCACTTGAGACATTGACCAAGTCATTTAACCTTTCTTGGTTATGTATCCCCCCATTTCTTCATCTGTAAGAGAAGTGTGACATCTTAGTGTTTGATGTAAAATTAATGTATGGAAAAAGAAAGCACTATTCAAAGCATTTAAATATATAAATGAAAATGTCATTGTAAATATTATCACGAGGAGCAGGTGGTATTAGCCATCATTTACAGCTGGAGGAATACTGGTTGACGGGTAAAGGGCTTATGAAAGTTCTGGGTAGCAGAAGCAGGTCACCTGCATGTCATATCACTCTGGTAACAAGTTTGATGCCTTCCTCAGGCACAGCTAGGACAGCACAGGACTGCTTAACAAAAAGCCAAAGGTTCAAACTAATATACAAGTTACCTTTTCTAATAGGTCAAATCAGATTTTAGTATTAAAAGATTTTATTGCTTTTTTTCATGTGCTTATAAATAAGCTTTGTCCTATTTTATCTAGATGGGAGTCTGCCCTTCTAAATCACAAACTCCTAGTTTATTCTTCACATGGCTTCAAGGTACTGGTTGTATTTCCTCATTCTCTCATAAAAAAAAATTGTGTAGAATTAATTCTGAAAATGATATGAAGCCATTTGGGTATGATTTCCAACAGCCAGTCATGAAGCTGCACACTGTTTTGCTGCAAGGCCGTCTTTCCTGGTCTTACTGGAGAATGATGTGCACCTGAAAGGACAGCATCCTGGAGAGTGACTGTAGTGGGTGTCACAACACAGTGGCAAAGAGTTTTTCTATTTTCTAATACAACGGGATGGGGAGGGCACAGTTTGAATGCTCCTCAGTCATCTACCTCAATTTCCTTTGCTCATTCCCTGCTCAGGGAGCTCTTCAAAGGAAGCAGGTCACAGCCAGCAGGGAGGAACTACACACTAACTAGGCCACCCTGGGTTGCTTCTGGGGAACAAGTTTACCGGCTGCTGCGAAGCTGGGGAGAGTGAAAGAATTCTCCCTCTGAAACCATGGCAGGGAATTCTAGCTCCTAAACCACTGATTTCTAATCTAAAATGGGTATCTTCAGTTTTCTCCAATTTCAAGTATTTATGCCTGAAATATTGTATCTTCCCTTTTTTCGTGAGATTAGCTTTAAAGATGCTACAATGGCTTTTGAGATACTAGGGGCCTTACAAAAATCATGGGAGTAGGATTTTCTGCCCTGGTCAGTTGTGTAAAAAGATAAAATGAAAATGAGAAATGGTTGTTCACTGTGAAGGCAGGATTTCCTGATGGCTTCAAATACATGCTTACTGATCACTATGTAGAAAATCTGTAAGACGTTCAAAATCCAACAAGCCATTTCTACTTCTGGACAAGATAGAGCAACAGGGACTGGTTTTTCTGTACTATTTTAAATATCTAAAAACCAGGTAAAACGTTTGAAAAAAGTTTCCAGTCATTGGAAAAGAGGTACACAGGACAGAAATCTCTTAGAAAAGAGAAATGTGAGCCTTACAACTACCCCAGCTTCTTGCCTGGAGTGTTTGCAGGCCACACCACAGGGAAGGGAACCCAAAAAAGCTCTTCAGTCTCCTTGAATAGAGGAAACCAAACTGAGGATT